AGTAGCTCATCCAACAWTCTAAATCAGTTGTTTAAGCAATCTGACAGCTTTTGTGGTACATGCTTGCGCTAGCATGTCCTCGGGCACATGCGAAACTGTATTACGCTTCGGTTTTTAATGGGGAAAGACTTCAATAGCACAGGAAAATATTTTAGAGGTATCTTATTTTCGAAAGTCGTCTGTGACCTACTTTTTCTACTTTACAATATAGCACTCCAAGTCGTATTTAAAATACGTAGTAATAATTCAGACATCAAAACATACCATTCTACTCATGGCAACAGAGAAGTATGGAACAGGTAAAGTGCTATCATATCAACAAATTAGGACTTTAGGTCCTTCCAAGAGCCGGCTTTACCAAAAGTGTAAACTTCACATTATCTTATCATACTTAGCGGCACTAAAAGCGATAATACGAAGTTCAAGAACATCATAAACCTCTGCACTGACAAATTCCAAGAATCGTATTCTACTTTTAACAGTGCAAGCTCAAGAGCACCTGTCCAACTTTGGTGCAAACTGTTGGTTGGAGATGGAGCTGGAAACTMCAGAGCACCTGATTCTCGATTGCACAGCAATCTATAAACGGAGGTTTAAGTCCCATGGATTCATAAATCTGCATGAAATACAACCTCATTTCTGCAGTCAACCACCACATTTGGTAATTTTAACTTCTCTGTGACGTTTTTCTGTTCCTGCAACTAAAAGGACTACTCTGCGGAAATCAAATTGAGTCTTATGAGATTAGTAAACTTAGTTGGCTGTAGGGCGGACTACAAAAAATAGCTAGATAAAGATTTGGGTTAAAAAAAAAAAGTTAAATCTACTAAAATAGTACGAGTTCAATTTAGACTACTACCCACAGTCGATAGTAGATGGAGGCCACGATTATCCGCTTATTAAATTTGGGAATGCTATAAGATGGCTAATAATTTAAAATCTTAAACAWACTGCGGTATTAACCAAAAAGATATTTCTGCTATTATTTTCAATACCTAAAAATTTCAACGAAACCCATTCAGAGTCCATTCGGTTGCACTTATCATTTTAGTATTGAGTATTTGCATTTTTCCAATGAGCTCTCACCCAGAGTCATATTTCCAGATTAAAGTCAATAACGAATAACTATTTTAATGACTAGCTAACCACAAATGTGCTGTTAATGGCTAAAATAGCTAATAGTCTATAARTTTTAATTGATGGCCAATGTTAGGCACACACTCGGCCAAATGGCGAGGTAATAACCGCGAATGGCCTTTCAGATTTCGACTTCGACTTCGACTTGGCTTTTCTTACACAATTTTCCATAGAACTAACTTTTATACGTGTACACAATCAAAACAAAAATTCAATATGCGATAACAGACAATGCACGAACAGCAAGAAAAATCAATGTTTGATGTTGCTGATGGCAGGCAGCGAGCGGCAAGCAACTGGCCATACGTACTATGATGGCACATCATTGTGCGATCAATTGATAGGGGATAGTGCTTGGCCACCGGTCGATTGCCTATGCCGGCACCACACACACCTGCTGCCAAGCACATTCACTCGGCGTTGCTGCGAACGCCTGTCAATGGCATTGTAATGAGCGAAGTGGCAAGTTGCAAGTTGCTAATAATAAAGGAAAATAAAATAATGAAAAAAAGAACGTGCTATCGGTAATTGCACTTACAGCCAACGTTGTTATTGTTATTATGCGCAAGTGCGGAGTCATAGCYGTTTTTGCGCATGCGCATGCTACACACTTGCAACACTCGCAGCACTGCGTGACGCATCTAAAAAGTAAGCTGAGTGGCGAAAAGTGAAGACAAATAGAGTAGATTGGGAAAATTGAAAATAAAAATAGCAAAAACCGTAAATAGTGAAGAGCATGAGATTAGCAAGCATTGTGTGGCAACCAATGGTTAGTGCGCTGGTTTGTGCCACAGCTGCAATTTATGCCAAGCAAAGGAGGGCAACCTAATAATAATGAAACACAGGCAGTATGCAGGCAGCAGTCACTAACTGTCTGCCACGTTGACTGACTGATGGCCTGACTGTTTGACTGACGTGCTGAGTAAATGCTTGCCACATGTAAGCAGTGCGCAGTTGCAACATTGTACAAGTAAMTACGGAAGCACCGGCTTGTAGATTTAGTTTAGCCACAAAATGCATGCTACTGACCAGTGTTGCCACTACGGACATGCATATATAATTTGATATATGTGAAAAGCTAATTTTTTTTTCGTTCTATAAGATGTTTGCTAAAATTTTGCTGCTTCATACTTAGTATACACGTGCTCGCTATTTTACTTGATATACTTGAGCTTGGTTGGAGCTTTGTCTTCCAGCTAAGTAAATAACTGTGTTAGAAGGACTTATTTTACTGTTATTTGGAGGAAATAAATCTGCAGCTATAGGCATGAGGAGAATTGTTACATCTGAGTATTATTTAGTTCACTAAAAGCCAGGCTCTTTGTGCAACTCCATTGATTAGGCTTTGTACACTTCSTTACATAAAGTTTTTAATATTATTATATTTAAAAAATTGAAATTTATATTTAAAAAATTGCTTACAAAAGTAGGTAAATGAATGTCTGTTGACGCACTTAGGCCTTTAGAGGACCCTTTGTGAAGCGACTGGGACTAAAATCCACTCACTTTATTATATCCTCTCTCAAACACCGTGTGCTTCTGATGAAAATTCATCAATGCATAAATTAATTTATGAAATCTCTGAAACATTGTCAAGAAACTCTCGATCGATAGGTGTGATTATTTTCCCGTATAGAGACTTTCATTCACATACAAGATAGTCTCTTCTTCTTATATCTCCTGACAGCTTCTGCAATAGTCATTGTATAATTGTTCCAATTTATCGGCATGCCTGGCACTTAGGCAGTGACTTATTTTCACTCCCACCAGAGTTTTTATATATTACTTTGGCATTTGAATAGTCGGCATATTTCGCCCATATACCCTACGTGCCAAGTTTACCCGCTTGTTGAGCAACTTAATGATTGACTTGACCGACACTCAGCTTTATGTATAACATGTTTATCGATTAATATCCACAAGTAGCCAAGTATATATTTACTCTTTTTCGCAGTCTACTTGTAGGGTGCCTTGAACCTTTTGCATGTTTATCGTGAAATAAGTTCTTTGATCCACTATCTTCGTTGTAATYCTAAAAGACTTTAGTTAATTCAAATCCGTTTGGCTCCCTGTATATTTAAATCTATTTCTTATTGTGAGCACATTCGTTTTCAGAACAGGTAGGTTTGTTTTTAATTGCTGTGGTCTCCGCTTGGAAGACATTGCAGTGGTCTGGTAAAAGTTACATACCACTTGATTGTCTAGTTTGTAACCATCCGTATAAATACAAACTCTATTGGGAATCAAATTTTTATTTAATTCTATGGGTTTTCGATACAGCAAAATTATATCAGAGTCAGTGTGTTACTTTACGTATTTTTGTATTGATTATTTTGGTTTAAATTTTTTCTCCTTAGAATTTTTCATATACTGAATTTGAAAGTTCCTATCGATAATTTTAAAATTTTTCGAAATAATTCCACCAAAGAAAGCTATYGCGCTAAAGAAGATACATAACTCTGAAAGGTCAGCTTATATCTACCAAACAGTTTTTCTCCTCCCGGGCTGTAATTGAAATTATTTGAAATATCTAAACAATTAGGTATACAAATCGCGTTTTAAACAATCATTCTTCATCAAAAAAACCAATTTCAATTGATTTCATATCAGAAATTACTTTTTAGAAAAAGAGGTTACATTCGAATAGGTTGCTTTACAACTTATCACAGGTATTCATAGTATCTGTTACAATTTGAATAGGATTCTCATTTAGAGCTTCCTGCAAACGCTTGAGCAACCTACAGTGAATTGTGAAGGAATTCTGGGCTATAAATTACCATAACTCCAAGATAATTGCACCTCGCCTTTCTCCATATAGCGTTGGCATAAAGGGCCCGACAAAATATTGAACCGCACCTGATGTGAACTTGTTGAGCCAGAATGCCTACAATTGCGACGAGATTGACATTGGTAAGAGCACGTAGGTCAGAGTACATAATATGTATGTAAGGGTTCACTTTGCCTCTCGCARTCTCACAGTATCTTGCCTAGCTCACAGGTTATGAAAGGAACTCATTGGCTTTACAATTTCTGGCGTATACTCTGTAACCGGGCACCCAAATAAGTCTAATGAGATCATGCACTCCTTTATTAGTTCTCTGCTCACATTAAACGATTTCAAAGTCAATGCTTCAACTCCACTATTGGAGCCGACGCGAAACTCTTTGAAAGAGGCTGCACTTCTGTGCAATATATCTATTCTAACTCCACTACAAAAATCTGGTAGCTTGAAACTAGTGTCGATGGAGAGTTTCCTCTCTTAACTATGCCTAATTCGGGAAAAATCTCACTTTTCCTCTGAAGAAACTCTGGAGTAATGTGTTGCTCCCTACCGCTAAAATCTCTTATAGGTATGGGAAAATAATCCGCGATGCAGTGATCTAGATTGTCAGGAAAGCTGTTTAGAGAAGGGCTACTTAGTGGGCACCATCTGACCTAGTTCTTTAAGTTTCTTGAGTGAATCGTTCACCACCAGAATCTTCTTTAAAAAGAAGAAAAAATGCAATTTTGCCGGGTAGCCTTATTTACATACCAAAGTCCTCGTGCCCACCACAATCGTTTTGTAGCAAAGGAGAGTATAGATGATTTGCTTGAGTTAAGCTTCGAACTCAAACTTAAAAAGAACACCATTAATCGCGTCTGGCATCTAAGAAAGTTAGGATTTTAAGGATGACATTTTTTATTTRATAATGAAAAAAGTAAAACTTTTTACAAAATAAGATTTAGAACATAATAACTTTATTAAAATAAAACGGCGCAAGTGAAGCAAACGTTTGGTAAGAGCAAAAAAGAAAATGTGACAACAAATCGCGGTCAACAGAAAATTTCACACATAAATTTTAACCAAAACATAATTTATTTAGGTGCAACTTGCCGAAAGGGTTCAAAAAAATCAATGAATGGACCAGCGGTGTCAATAAACAGGAGCAGCAGAACAAAGGMGCATAAATATAACGAAATAATTATACCAAAAACAAAGCAGATCACTCAGCAACAACAATAACAGCGACCTAAAAAAGTACAAAATAAAAGCAAAAAGACACAAAGCCAAAATAAGAAGAGAAGAGTACCATATATCTGCTTGTTTTAAAATGAAGATAAAATAAAAAATAAAAAGAAAGAAGCTTTAAAAAACAATAACAACTAAAGCAAAGGCAGAAGCAGACTAAAAAAGTCTGGAAGCATAACAAAAACTGCAACAGTAATTGCTGATATACTTGCAACACAACCAAATTACTATAGCAACAAGCAACAACAGCAATAAAAATCAGCAATAACAACTTTTACAAGTACCTACACACGCATATACTATATATATACACTGAAGGCCCTACTAGCGCAGGCAGCAGCAACATGGAGAACATGTCATCATCAATTGAACCGGTGCCGGTGGTGCCGCGCACCGCCAATTTGCTGGCGTGCAAACAATGGTGGCGCGTCTGCTTCTTATATGGCGACCAGCAGAAGTACTACCGTCAAGTCTACAGCAAAGCGGCTGCGCAACGGCTGGCGCTCTCCACTGGCGGCACGCTAACAGCCACCGGCTTTCCACCAGACAACAACAGCGGCAACGACAACGATAATGACAACGAAAATGAGACGCACAGTGGCAAGGATAGCGGCTGCAGTGGTAGCATGCAGACCGCTGACTATGATACGGTGGCTGGTGATTTTATCGAAACGCAATTAGACGACGSAGATGCTAACGAAATACTAGCAACAACAGCAACATCAATTACAGCTACAACATTGGCAGATGCGATCAACAGCACCGATATGGTTAAAAACCATAATCAGGAGTTGAACAAACTGACAGCGAAGCGGAAGAAGAAGCAGAAGGCTAAAGAAGGTGACGAGCAAGCGCCACCAGTGCCACTCTTTCCTTCCAAATATCAGACCATGAATGTCACTGCGACCGAGACGCCGGCCACGAATGCGCTGTTCAACACAACGAGTCGCGGCAAAAAGTTGCTGCGCTCGCTGCGTGTGCACGTCGGCAAGGGTGGTGATAAGTCGGCAAAGGCGCGGCATAAAGCGGCGCTCAACTCGCCCGAGCAGCCTGAGAGTGAGGCTACCAAAGGTAATGCCAAAGTCACTGTGCTGGATGATCCGTTCCTTTTCGGCATTGACGCTGATCATTTGGGTGATTTGGTGCGCAGCAAGCAATATGCGCCCAATACCACCGAGCATATTTCCCAATATTATAATACCTATCTGGAACAAGAGCAGCTGGCGTTGGATGCGCAATTGGATTTCGGTCAACATTTGTCTAYAGCTTCTTCAACACCCGTGCAATACGGCTCCATGCCGCAGCCACCAGATGCAGAGCCAAAACCCGCGTTGCCACCTAAAAAGAAGAAGCAGAGTAATTACGAATCTCTCAACGGTTTAATGAGTGGTGGTCTCGTCGATGGTGGCTCTTCAGAGCTGCAGCTAAATGAGAGCGATTTACAGTTTTTAAATTTGAATATGCGCAATCGCAGTTTGCCGCGCAGCATGAARCCGTTCAAGGATGTGCCGACCGATATTAGTTTCACATTCACTGAGGCGGATGGTGATGCTTCGGCGCCACCACGTCCAGCGCCGCTTCAAAAGAGCGCCACCTGCGAGCGCGATATGAATTTRGGCGCGCTTCTGAAAAGAGAGCAGTGTGATGAGTAAGTTTTTGTGTTTAAGACATTTTTTTATTTCTTGTTTAAGAATTAGTAATAATATTCAAAACTTTTCAAGAAAACAGCAAAACTTATTTTAAAAAAAATGTACAAAACTAAAAGTTTAAAACAGAAGAACAGAATTATTGAATTCTTTCGGGTGTCCAAATATTCTCTGAAATAGGGCAATCACACGCAGTGCAGTTTATGCGTTATTTGGGTAGTGAAAGAATCTTTGGTTTAATTTCATAAATTTTAAATTGGAAATCACAACTTACGAAGCAGAAATTTATAATTTAGATATACAGGATCTAGAGGAATATATTAGGTTGTCAAAAAAGTCTTGCGGTATTTTCGCTAGTTGGCGCTGAGAGCGCGTAGTTCTAGTTTTATTTGTCGTTTCTTTCAAGTCAGTCGTGAGTTATAGCGTCGCAAACATGGAGCAAAATAAAGAGAAAATACGGCATATTTAACAGTACTACTACGATAAAGGCAAAAATGCATCTCAAGCCGCCAATAAAATTTGTGCAGTTTATGGACTCGATATAGTTTCCATTTCCACCGCACAACGATGGTTTCAACGTTTTCGTTCTGGTGTAGAGGTGGTCGAAGAAGCGCCACGCTCCGGAAGGCCTGTCGTCGAAAATTGCGATAAAATCGCTGAATCGGTCGAAAGAGACCGGCATAGTAGCAGCCGTAGCATCGGTCAAGAGCAGGGCATGAGTCATCAAAAAAAATTTTGTGAACAATTGAAAATTCAATAAAAATACCGCAAGACTTTTTTGACAACCTATTTTGACAACATTTCTTCCATTTTATTGCTAAGCAATGCTATTTTGTAAAAAGTAATTTTATTGAATGTAGTTACGAAATTCCGTTAATTTTTATTACCAGGCTTTTTTGCGATTACTCTAGTAGTCTCTTCTTACAACACACGTCCATTCTGCGTATTTTTTCAAATTTCATATGCTGGTCCCTTATGCGACCCATAGCTATATATAAGGTCTATCAAAAATAAATATATATTATGTTTACATTAAATTGAATTATTTATCTAGCACAGTTAGAATGATGATTTAGCTCAAATGCGCAACGTTTTGGTTGGCCTATTGGTATCTTCATGAAGCCATTTTCATCGAAATCCTTGTTTTATTATCAAAACCAGTGGCAGTATTTTTACAAGCTTCTCTTCTTCACCAGTAGCACAAACTATATCCGGTCTATAAGGTAGGCGCATAAGAACTTCTCAATAAAACTTCCGGCGTATGTGGGGAGTGTATGTGCCTTCTTCTGATGGAATACAATTTCACTCCCAATTACCGCTTCTAAACGATTTCTTCTCTCATATGGCTGTCAGCCATATGGGTTCTAATAAGACTTTGTAAAAGACCAGCACATAGTAGGTGATTTCCTAACGATTCTACAAATAAATAGCAAAACCTTCTTTTTCTACCAGTTCACCGGGTTTCGACTGCAACCACTCACAAGTAACCATCAGTTATAAAAATAGATCCTTTTTCTTGCGATTCGATCATATAATAATACCCAACGATTACCCTCCTCCCGGAAATAGCCGAGTCATAAAAGACAAGAGAGTTTTAAGCGTTGCGATCTTAAACTSYTMARCTRCWSARMYAAARAWWYMAAMAKYYMAA